CCATACAATAAATAACCCAGAAATAACATTACACGAGAGACAGGCCGACTGAAACTGTTGTGCATTGGTGGCAAGTTTTTATCCTCTGCCCTCTTCATGTTTTCATTCTAATTATTATTATGACTAGATACTTAGCCTTAGGTGTGCTGAGGAAATCAGTATGACTCATCTGTCGAGTGCTGGCAAATGCTGGGGTGGATGTTGTCCTGGTGGGTTAATCATTCCCAACTTTGCCTTAAAGATTTGCTAATTCCTATAGCTGTGCAAAGCAGCTATTGTGGGCTTAGTGGGTGACTTCTCTGATGAAATAGCCTTTTGGCAATGTCGCTTATAAACTGGGTCATGAAATTAGAGAAAACAATAGCTGTCTTGAGGAGAGGAGCCTGGCACACAGCATACATTGTCAGTAACGATCGTCTGAGCTTCATTTGGTGCTATTCTTTATGCGACTTCTCTTAGTGTCAGATTCTTTCACTTTTTATATTATTGTTATTATTCAATCCTCCAAGCTGCAATATCTTCTACAGTAGAGTGATTTTGCTACCCTGGCATCTTTCCCCTAATTTTCTGGACGGGAACAAACTATTGGCACATCTCACACAAGTACGACTGCAGTGGTTGTTAATTCCCTCTCCCTCAAATACCCACATATAATTCTGTGTTTCTTTTCTGTACAATACCTAATATTTGAGGGGGAGAGGAGAACAGGATCCGTTACCAGGATTTAAGGAAGTCATCCTCCTTAAAGTCATTTTGGGAAGGTTGAATCACAGTATGTACTGGCAACCATTGGCACCAAATGAGCCCCCCCTGGCAAATGATGAGCAACTTGTGGCCTACATGCAGCTTCCCAACTCCAAAGGAGCTGCATTCTGTAATGAGATCTCTCCTCCTCCTCCTCTTTTTCCTTGAGCACCAGAATAATGATAGCACTGGGTATATTCAGACTGAAGTAGGCATACCATAACTATTTTGAGATGTTGAAAACAACATGCATCTGGCTTTGGAAGCCTGCTGTTTTCAAAAGGCCATGCCCTTCTCCATCAGCCCCTGATTTTGCCGAGCAGAGAAAATGGGGACCGTCTTGAGGCTTCCCCAGCTTGATGCTCTTGAAGTATCCCCAGTGGTGTGCCTATAGCTAGAATGTAATCTGCACGCTTGACCCAATGTGTCCTTGAACTTCAACTTTTTTTGAAAGAGTTGTTTAAGTTTCAAGGCCTAATTGAATGCTCTTCCTTGCTCTTTTCCTAACAAATCAGTGATGCCCATGCTATGCCCAAGGTAAACGATCTCAAATGAGAACACATAAACATCTGAACATGAGGGAGATGCAGTGACATAGTGTTTATGTTAATGATACCTATTGATCTCTTTGTTCTACTTCAATATATTTACCCTTTTTCCCTAATTCTAAAATATTTTATGCAGAGAATGTTATTTTAAAGGCCCTTGAAGTAACTTTAAGTAGTTTAATTTTGCAGACTAAGAGGTACACTGTGTAATACTTGTATGTAGCAAAGTGATTGGATCCAGGGCCAATCTGTATCTTGTGTTATCTTGTTAAAACAATGAGATCAGGCCTTAAAGGTCAGTATATACCACTCAGCTTTCAGTAGTATCGTCCTACTGGATGTAAGGGTTGAAGCAGAAACCAGGTCAGAGAAGGGCACTGTTAAATGCTGAGCAGGTCCATGCCAACCCCAAGGCTGGGAAAGGAATGGCTAGAGTGGCTAGAGTCTGTTAGGATGAAAATGCATAAGATTTAATCCCTGAGGATGGCAGAGATATGGATTTGATTTCTATATTCTGTCTCTCTCTGTTCTTCTGCATATACTGTGTATGACTTCTTTCTAGGTTACAATGAAGACATTGAAATCACTGAAGTTTTTGCTACTAATTCATGAATGTGAGGTTGAGTTTCCAGAATAATAATTATAACAATGCTTGATTCTGTGTGGTCCCAGAAATATGAAGCTTAAATGACTAACCTAGATAGGCAACTGCACCTATCCTCATTGTCCAGTTTTCTCATGGTTAGAATGGGCGGGCAATCATTTCTGAAGGGCAGAGACAGATGGCACCATTCACCTTCAAATGAAACATGCTTACAGTATGTTTCTCTGCTGTATTTTGGACACCATTCTCCTTTTTATATTGTCTTGAATCCTTCTGTCCATTTTAGCTGCAACTAGAGCAGGTTCTCCAACTTGGCAACTTTAAGACTTGTGGACTTCAACTCCCATAATTCCTCATTACCATGCTGGCTGAGGAATTCTGGGAGTTGATGTCCACAAGTTTTAAAGTTGCTCAGTTTGGAAACCCATCAGCTAGAGCATTTCAGTTTAGGCTAATCTCAGCAATGTTTCAGCTACTTTTCAAAGGCAAAGTTGCCTCTTCAACCTAGTCAGTGCTTAACCCTGCATTCTAATAGCTGCTATATCTCTTTTCCCTCCCTCGTCTCTCAAATAGCATAGCAGTTAAGATCTTCACTTAGATACAGAAAGTTGCCAGTTTAAAACCTAACAAACATTGTTTAATTACAGTTTTCCTTTAAAAAAAATCTAGGAGTTTGCTTTTTAAAAAAATTCAGATACCTGAAGCAGAAAAGTGTCAGCTGCAGCTCCCAGACAGAAAAGATTATGTGGCCTCTTTCTTAGTTTTGTTGACTTCTCTAATATTGCTACTGGAATGGATGAATTGTGTTAGAAGAGCTCTTGAGTTTTATGGTTTAGACACCTGTCTGCTATTAACAAAAGTGAGCTCACTTAATGTCACATGAGCCATGAAATAACCTTCCAGCAGTCACCTCTCCAGACAGGGTTAGAGCCAAAGATATAAGAGATTGAAAAAGTCAGTATCTTACTGCCAAACTTCTAAATCATCCAGTGCTTATTGCCAAATTATTTTTGGTATGATTCTGAATATACTTCGGCTTCAGGAGTTGTAGGTTGCTCCCTTATATGGCCATGATTTATGAACATTATTGCAGCATTGTCCCACCGACCATCACTGAAACTGTACTGAATATTAATTTAAAAGTTGTGTATGTTTCATTGAGATTGATGCCACTTTTCTATCTTTGAGACCTATTTTCAATTACACGTGTGTCATCAAAATCCAAGGAAAAAAAATAGTTGTTCCCATTTTACACGTATTTCATATTTGCACCAGTACCTAGAATGTTTTTACTTGAATGTCATCTTACAGCAAATATGTGTTCTCAATAAGCTCTTGAGCTGCCTCACTGCAGAATAGATGAAAAACACTGCTGTCACGTAGAACTTCCAATAACTTTTATTCCTGACTTTGACTTAATTCAATACATTTTTTTCCAGAAGAAAATTGGGTGAAGTAAGATTATATTGTATTTTCTTTAATAGAAGAGTTTGTAACAAACACAGCATCATCTTTGCCAATTCTGCAGTCTTGAACTCAGTCTCCCTGAACAACTAGATCTGGTGTTTGGCAGCGGCCAAAATCATTTGTTAGATATCCAGCTCTCTTGCACTGCACTCATCATCTGTAAGCTAGAAAGCAGCTTCAGATCCTGAGAGTAAATATCAATAGCAATAGCAGTTAGACTTATATACCGCTTCATAGGGCTTTCAGCCCTCTCTAAGCGGTTTACAGAGTCAGCATATTGCCCCCACAGTCTGGGTCCTCATTTTACCCACCTCAGAAGGATGGAAGGCTGAGTCAACCCTGAGCCGGTGAGATTTGAACCGCCGAACTGCAGCTAACTGCAGCTAACAGTCAGCTGAAGTGGCTGCAGTACTGCACTCTAACCACTGCGCCACCTCAGCTCGGTAAAACCTGCCTGACCTGACATATAGAACCAATTCATGATTCAGAATCTTCCTGGTATCGTGAATAATATTTAATACCATCAATTTCATCAAAAAGCAGGAAAAGGCCCTGCCTAGTGTTAATGAGAGCAGGATGGCCATATGTTCTCTTTTCCTGGAAACATTTCTCCATTTGAAGAGTATCCTATACAAATCCAATTTAAATATAGAAGGGTTAATAAACAAGGATAAACCATGGTGTAAAGGTTATCCTGAAAAATAAGCAAGCAAAGCAGAAGCCTGAGTCCTTTGGTTATTGTTTTTTTTACTACAATGAGATATATTTTCCTGTGCAATATGGCAACCAGATCTGTTTTATGAAATTAAAGGATCATGGCGTAGCAGCAAAGACAGACAAATAACAGTTATTTCTAAAAATTTGTATCCATGCAGTAAAATTAACATAAACAAATATTATGCAAGTCAATTTTTATCTCCTTCCTGGGTAAGTGTCCCCACCCCCATTTGTGGCAATAGTCTCGATCGACTGACAATTTATGGTAGTATAGTTATTCTAATAAAATATACAACTTCCTTCTCTTTTGTTTCTAGGCTTGGCCTTACTCAGAACTAGTTGCCTGCCTCAGTATCAACTCATTATCAGGCAAGGTTGAATGTGGACCAAAACATTGGCATGGAGTTAAAGTATCAGATTCATGGCAATGTCCCTACAAATAGATACTTAGATATTGGGCAGCCCCCTTACTTATGTAGGAGGGAATGCCTGGAGCCCTGGGTTTCAGGCAAACTCTACAGCAACTAAATGCATTTGAAGTGGCTCTCATTTTCTTTAGTCTCTGTACTCCTTGACTATATCCCCATTGCCATACACACCGAGAGTAACCCGTTGGTTAGCAGAACATGCTCTCTTGTCAGCAAGATGGCTGGAAGAAATTTTGCAGTCTGCCTGGGAGGTTTTTGCTGAATAACTTGCAAGAAGATAGACCTGTATTTGTTTTAGGACATTTCCTGCATTTCTAGTCATACCAAAAGTGAGGAAGAAGTTACCCTATGGATGTACTGTTAACATACACTACCTATGACATGTAGCAGAAAAAGGTGGTATTGGGTACAATGAATTCTACTAATCTGTTTGAAAACCCCCAGTGGTGGAACACCCACAACTAATGTTCTTTCTGTCTTTTTTTATTTCAGTGAACTCTGGCGATGGCATTGACTACAGCCAGCAGAAGCGAGAAAATATTGGAGACTTGATTCAAGAGACACTGGAAGCTTTTGAGCGCTATGGTGGTGAAGATGCTTACATAAACATAAAATACATGGTCCCAACTTATCAGTCATGCCTGTTAAATTAACAAGAATGATGCCACGAGCACTTTCCAGCTCAGTCTAATGTTTTGGTACTCATTCCACACCCCCACACCCCCCAACATACTAAAAAAGCAGCTTCTGGGACCTTAAACTCTTTAGCTCTTCAGTACAAATGTGAGCCTGTCTTTCCAATGCATAAATAGTGCCTGTTTCTTGGATTACAATGGTGTGCTGTGCTTATTTGTTTGGTGAAAGAATTGCTTCTTTATCACAAAAGCAGAGCGGAGCGGGTGTCAGAGTCAAACCTTCATTTGTACGGACAATAAAACTATAATTTTCATACGCAATTCGGCAATTGCTCTTCTGTGTCCGCTTGCCCTGGAGGCGATGTCCCAGGCTGTAACAAGGAGAGTTTATGCTGACTGCTTAATAGGAGAAACAATCGTTCAGCAGTGGTTCTCTAGCAGCTGGGCAGAATAATGGGCCCCGACTTACAATAAAACTGTTGAGCATCTCTATGAATTACAGGAGGGACTTTTGTTCAGCCCATTAGAAAGCGCCTTCATAAATGTAATTAATGAGTCAAACACACGTGTCATCCAAGCTTCCAGGTGTTTGCCTTTTTTCCAAAAACAGAATGCCTTCTTATTTCTTTCTTTCTCTCCCCTTTTTTAAAATAGCAACATGGCAAGAAAGGAAAATGGATCTGCCTGAAAGCAAAATTTTATAGTAACAGTGTTGCCCTGTGATTTGTCTTGAAAGGCAATAGGTCTTTGCAAGAGTTCTAAATCTTTGGGATTGGCTATTTATAGAACTCCTCCTCCAGGTTATCTACTGCTTCTGTTGGCTGAAGCATAAACACATACCATGTTTATGATGTATAGGTATAACATTTTTTCTCAGATATGACAGACCTGGCTAATGAACTGGCAGCTTATGAAGGGGATCTGGTTCCCCCTAAAAAGGTAGCTGCTGGCTGCTTATACCAAACAAGATTTTTTTTTAATGCCTGGCAGATGCCTCTATCTGGAGGTCATATTTCTGTTTTCCTATAGCACAGGTGTCAAACTCACCACGTCACATTGATACCACGTCACGTATTGCGACAATTTTTGCTTTTTGTGGAGCTGAGGTGGGTGTGGCCTGCATATGACGCATCTGGCCCTTGGGCCACCAGTTTGACACCCCTGTCCTACAATTTCCCAATTCCATAGCCACTGAAGATTGTTCAGAGAGAATCAAGTGCCATCATTTCTGCCATCCTTACCCATGAAATTTTCAAATTAGGTGGGGAATAGAAAGAAAGGCAAATGGTAAACCTACCTATGTTGTGTCCTCATCCAGCTGACAGAAAAACCTTGAGAGTGTTTTACAAATGTAAAAATTAAGAGTCTTGTTTAAAAAAAATGTTTGAAATGATGTTTTTCACAGGCACAACATAACTCAGGAGTGAGAGCCATATGACACCCCCCCCCCAGATATTGCTGAGCTCTGGCTGCCAGCACCCCTAATCAGCACCCCCAATCCTTACAAATAAAAGATTTAGTTCAACTATATCTAGAGAACTTTTGCTATTATTTCTGTTATAGAAGGAATATAACAATGAAGAATACAAATGGGATTTCATGGTCTTTGGATTATAAATTGCAGAGTTTAGAGAAGTGCCTGCATTAGACCATAAGAAAGGCTCTCCACTCCAGCAACTAATCCTTTTCTGTTTTTGAGAACAATGGTGTTTATGTACTTTGCAGCCACCATTCTCAATCCACCCCCCTTGCAAACAATGGCAGTGATGGCTCCAACTTTTCTCTGCAAACCTCTTGTTCCCATTTCTGATACAGAACTACCAGCACTACAGTCAAAGATATTGTGTGAGTTTATGAGGCCAGCAGAACTCTTTCTTCATACTTAAAATCTCCAGTCACAGAAGATTTAATATGTTCGCAACAGAGGATGTAATATAACTATTGGGGTGGCTTGTACGATTGAGGCTGCCTAAGCAATAATAATAAAAAATCCTTGGGGCACAACTTTTCAGGCATGGTTTTTGTGATGGTCCACGTGGGGCACATTCCTACAAATGGAATACTTCAATCATCACCAATGCTGTGTCACAACAGAACACTTCTATACTTACCCCAACACAAAAGTATTGTTTACAATGAAAGGAAAAAATGGCATAGATAAACAGTGCTACTAATTTGGAATCACAGGCTGAGTTCGAGTAAGCATGATGATATGACAATCCTTGGTGTTTATAACCACTGAATATATGCTTTTTAGAAACACAATTTATACTAGAAAGTGTCATGAAGTGATTGCCCTCCAGGCAAAATTAAATACTTTGTGCCCTGTGGAATTAAATGGGTGAGATTTAAGCAGCACTTTATCCTCCCATTGAAATGAACGAAATGTAATGTTGCCTGAATTGTTGTGTGTATCAAACAATGCCCAGTTTTTACTGTTGTAGGCTTCATTTATTTATCTTTGAGAACACAGCAATACTGCTGTACACAATCCGATTGCCTTAAATCAGCTATAGAAGCACAAATAACAGTTATTTTGTAGTGAATTTCAAAAATAATCCCTTGAAGAAAAGGCATTTTATTTTTTTGTGTTTTATAATATGTGCCCTGGAAAATACTCTTCTGCTACAATATAGGTAGAAAAGGCCGAAGTGAAAGTCCAAGTTTGTGTTTATTTCTCTCTGTGTGCATGTGTCTCTCTGTGTGTGTAATACAGAAAAGGCCACTCCAAATACAAGCAGCTTGAATAGCGGTCTGGCAATGGGCAGAAAGAATTGTAATCACGGTGCTGGTATGTGCTTCAGTATGTCGCCTCCCCAATATACAGACATACACACACAGAGACATGCACACACTTTGTTCCATGACCTAAAAAGAAGCCAGGACACATCACCTACATAAAAATAGAAGTGGTGAGCAAGAGGAACGGCTGGTCTCTCTTCTTCACTCTGTGGTCATCAACACAGACAGGGCCAAAACAGAAATTCACACTGATTTGAGGGATATGCTCAGAATGGCTCCTTATATTAAAGAAGTGAGTTCCCATGAAATCATAGTATAATCTAGAGAATGATATCATCCAAGCCTACACTTTATAAAATACAATTATATGAATAAACATTTTGGGAAGAGCCTGGGATAATTCAAATGGCTTGCTTTTGTGCAAACTACCAACTTGAGATACAACTTCAACAAAAAAAAGGCATTGCAGAAGGTCAGGAGAGAGCAAGTGAGAAAGAGAGATGCGGGGGGGGGGGAATCAAAATTATCAGGGATGTAAGGTAATGGTGTAACAGAACTTTTAAATATAAAGCAAAAAAGGAATCTATGGTTTTTTTTTAAGCACTCCATAGTGCAGTAAAAGTGACAGTTTTGACCTCGGTAGGCTAAATTTCAAGCTCCTCTATAATTTAGCAGAGGAAACTGCATAAGGAAAAGCTTTCTCTTTCAGTTTGGAAGCAGGTGTTAATTCAGCCTCCAAGAAAAGTAGCATTCAGAGTGAATGTTTGCACTGCAGTTATCTGCAAACATCTTGCAGATATCTTGCAATTGCCTTATTCAGAAGTCATCTTCATTGGCTGGATGAGTTCAAGAGGAAATAGGGCCAAACCATAATTCTGTGCTTGGTGCAGTGTGCACTGATTTGCACACACCTCCTCCAGTATCAACAACTTCAAGTCAAACATTTGTGGGAACACACTGTTTATATACACAACTCTGCACAGAAGGGCTTGCCCAACATCTGGAAGCTTTGTAGTGCAGGGTTTGTATTTCCACAGAAACTTACTAAGGCTCCTGCCTGCACATATTCGTACTGTCTGTGCAATTATAAGAGAGTTGGTCCATATGCATTGTACCATGAGTAGGGGCCACACCACCATCTGCTCACTACTGCATACAAATAAGGCTATTATAGAATACGGCTTCTTATAGCTAGTGTAGCACTTCATTCTTGAATCCAATCCTGTAAAACAGCAGCCCCCAATCTTTTGGCCACTAGGACTGGTTTGGTGGAGAGAGGTTTTTTCATGGACCAGAAGGGTTGTGGTTTCGAGTGCTGCCTACATCCCACAGACGGGGCTTCACTTGTTTGTGTGGCCCTGTTTCTGCCATGCCACAGCTTGGTGCCTGACCACCAGAGGTGGGTTGCTAATTTTTTTACTACCGGTATGGGCGTGCTCTTGTAATACTTCTGTGCTTGCACAGAAGTGTCTGAATGGGTGGGCGGAGCCTTCCGCCATCGCTACTACTGGTTTGCCCAATTCGGGCTAAACCGGCAGCAACCTACCTCTACCATTGGGGACCCCTCTTGTAGAATAAAGAGCACAAATGATTTCATTTTCTAGACAGAAGAAAACATTTTGCTGAAAAGAACAAGAACAGCTTTCCATCTCTAGAAGATTTCTGCCACCAGTAGTTTAGTTTAGTTTAGTTTAGTTTAGTTTATTTGTCTTGTATGCCGCCCACTCCCGAAGGACTCCGGGCGGCTCACAATAGACAAGGGAAGGGTGATAAATAGACAAAGACAACACTTTAAAAAATGCAACATTCACAGTTTCCGTGGGGCTGGATGTTTCACAAGCCCCCCTGCCTGCTGGAGCAACCAGGACTTGGTGGCTTTGCGGAAGGCCGGGAGGGTAGTAAGGGTCCGGATCTCCACGGGGAGGTCATTCCAGAGGGCTGGAGCTGCAACAGAGAAGGCTCTCCCCCAGGGAGTTGCCAGCCGACATTGGCTGGCAGATGGAATCCGGAGGAGACCTAACCTGTGAGATCTAATCGGTCTATGGGAGGTAATCGGCAGGAGTATAATATGGATGCTAAATACTCACAGGGAGATAAGTCAAAACAAGAAGAATCCAACAAAATGCAGAGGGACATAGCAATAATTTTCCATCCAAAACTGGAATTGTCCGATAAAGCAAGATCTGGATCACTGGTATATAATGTTACCACAGTGGAGGTATTCACTTACATTTGCTACTGGTTCGCAAATGTGAGTGCACTTGTATGCACAGAAGGTCACGCATTGTGTTGGAGCAAGTGGCTGGAGCTTCCAGCAGCCACCCCTACTGGTTTGCTCAAACCGGTAAGAACCTGCTGAAAACCACCTCTGGGTTATCATCTCTGTTCAAAGCAGAAGGCTCAGAACAGTATTGCATTTAAATTATTTAGAGTCTGAAAATAGTTGAGGAAAATCAAGAGTTGAACTTTTCTGCCATCTTTCTGATATTTGTCTAAGTAGATAGTCATGGAATTTGCAGTAACCAAACTGGATCAGAAGCCAGATACAAATTAGTCCATGCAATCTGTAACATTAAGAA